GACCGATGAGCTGAGGGCCTCGTCGGCACATTCCTGCAGCTGCAGCGGACAGGACGGGGTACCGACGGACGGCCGGCAGAGCAGCGCACCCGGAGGGCTCCCGAGAAATGGCCGCGTCCGTCGGCGCCCGTCGGTGATCGCTCAGGCCTTTGTCCGGTGCAGGCGGGTTGACTGGGACGTTGTGTCCCACTGCCAGCAGCATCGCTCAGGCGGACGTGGCGCCGCCACCGTGCGCCAGCACATTAGCAGCCGGCCGTCGGAAGTCGTCCGCCGCTCAACACCGCCCCTGTGACCCGAGCCGCTGACTCAGGAGGGTCGTTTGCGACCGACGCGACCTGTGATTCATGACCGAGTTGGCATCTCCAGGTCATCTGACTGTTTGCACTCCGAACTCTCCCCTCCCCACCGGTGCACCACAAACAGTTGCGCCCCCGCAAACACCGACACACTCTGACACAGGCGGCGGCGGGACGCACTCCCCGCGACGTGCCGTTTTTTGTGGTGTCTGCGGGCGGTGCGGCCGGTGTCACTCGGCGCAGTAGCTCCGGGACAACTGTGAACAGAAGCGCTGTTTGTCCGGGCCGCGCGTCTGGCCAGTATCACACCGAGTCGCAGCCACCGCCAGCGGAATCACATCGGAGCCCTGCCAAGACCAGACTCTGGCGCTCACAAATGCGGAAATTGCAATGGAGGGCGATGAAAAATTGATGCCGGGCATTCATCACGGTGAAATCATAATGCAATATCACGATCGTTCCCGAATCCGGAAGGTTAGGTAACGACTTTGGTAAAGCATTTAACGTCCGACAACCCTCTTCTCTAATTTGCTTTATCAATCATCATCAATCTGCCAACACTTTGCTATTTTCATTTATCGCTTTGTAACGTGTGATTAAGTAGTACGGCCGTGGCGCCAGCTAGGCACCGTTGTGGATTCACCGGGCGAGCTCCTTCTTAATCATTAGTGTGTCGGCACGGTACCCCGTCGCGTCAGGCGTGACAGGTCATATCCCGGGCCGACAGGGCATCCGTGAGGTGTGACAGGTCAGAGGTCACCGTGTCGGGTTCACCGGGTCCCGTTCGAGCCGCTCCACCACTCTGCCGTCCGCGTTGAGGCGCCGCGCTCCACCAGTCGGGCTGCCTCCGACTCACCACCCGACCCAGTCTGCATATCGGCACCAGCATCGGCGCGGAATACGCCTCGGCCGACGGCGGCGCCAGATGGCAGCGTTCGGGTCGCCTCTCGCCGCCGGCTCGGAGACATCTGTATTACCGCGCGCTGAATGACTGATGGCATAAGGTGCACCGCACGGCCCTGCCGACCGCTATATTTGGCCGGCCGGTGCCGACAGAAGAGCGGTCCGCACGCCTGGCCGGGCGATGTTGGTACGAAGCCGCCGTGTCGGCCGGACGCCACTTCATTGACGGCCTGCCAACACACACGTCACTCACGGACCGGAGCCGGAAACTCGGGCCGCCGCGCCGACCCCGCTCCTATCGTGGCTGCGCGGCGGTGCCAGGCCGCCGGCCGCCCGCGTGTGTCACTCAGGTGCGCGACGATGGACGCTGATGACCGGCCCACTCCTGGAAAGGCCCGGCCGTGTTAGATTGCCCGCCAGCGCGCCGCTGTCACTTGCTATTCAGCGACGCCCATGACAGATTGGCGCAGCTTCTGGCGACATCTGCGCCGCACCGGTCATCCAAGGCAGCATGCCGTCATTAATCAGCAGCGCACTGGGTGCCGAGTCAGGTGTTCGGTACGGGTTACTGAGCGGGTCGGACACAGCGGACCTGCTGCCGCCGCTGCTGGCCGCTCTGATACCATCGAGAAGCTGGCGTTCTACCGCGGCTACCTCCAGCCACCTGTCCCTGACCGGCCCGACAACGACCCACATCTAACACGGGTCCTCGTCGGCCGGTCCGGGTGAGGGGCCTGTCATCACGTGCCGCGCATGACGAGCGCTGCCGACAATGGAGCGCCTCCGGCGGCACTGCGCCGGCCCTCTCCAATAGGGCCACTGATTGCACGCGGTGGTGAAACCAGCCGGCGGCGGACGGCGGCGCTCTCCTCCCCTCTCTCGGTCGTCACGGCGCCGCTGTTCGGCGGCCGCCGCTCATACAGATGGCTCATTGTGCGGTCCGCTAGTCGACACGGCCGGCGAGGTTCCGTTCCCATCGCACGGCCTCGCCGCCGGGCATCCTCAGCACCGCGGCGAAACTGGCACGCGTCGACTACTTGACCTGTCTTCAGACTACTGCGGCAGCGCTTGGCAGGCCCGGATGGAGGGCCACCGGGGCCGGGCTGTCGCTGCAAGGTCACCACTGCCGACCTCCGGTGTGCCGCCGTTAGCGGCAGGTCACAGTCGCTGGAACTGCCACCGAATCACGCCCGTTTCCCGCGGGCCGGCCAGCGCGCGCCAAGCCAAACAGGCGTGACGTCGCGGCCGGCCGCGCGCCGACTCCTAAAGCCGCCAATCAAATAAGCGGGAGGTGCGCCTGTTTGTTTTCACGCGCGCCTCCGTCGACCAGAGACGACCGCACCAGCGGCGCTGCGGGCCGCTCGTGCTGACGTGCCGCCACCAATCACATGGCCGGTGAGGCCATTTCGCCGGCGCTCGGCGCTGCCACCCAGGCCGTCCGTCCGCCGGCGCCGGCCCACCCTCCTCGCCAGCCTCCAGTGACATCAGCGGCGGCCCTTCAGCGAACCCATCTCACCGCTCAGTCGCCACCCGGCGTCGGTCCGCCGCCAGTCGCAGCCCCGCCGACTATTCCTGGGAGAGGCCGAGTGACGCGCCCATCAGCGCTGACGGCCGCGTCAGTCGTCCCGGCGACGTCATCGGATGGCGGCGCCGGGGTGAAGGCGATGGAACGCGTCCAGGCGGCGGCGGCGCCGCTGGGGCGACTGCGGACACCACCGGTGCCCCTCCGCAGCGCAGTGCGCCGCTGACCTACTGGGGACAGACGCCAGGAGCTCCAGAGGCCGACCGGCCGCTCATGCATGTGTATTGTCCGGGCGGTACCAGGACATGTGTAGAACAAAACGAGTGATGTTCAGGTATCCGCTTAAGTATGCAACGCTAAAATATGCCTGGCATTTCAGAGTGACGCGCATAAACCTCAGGACAAGGGAAGTTATGGGTAGACCTTCACAAATGAACCAAAAACTCGGCGTACGGCTGATGTAGGTCGCTCCTCTGCAATAGCCCACTCCCGATACCTCAGCATGCAGCTGCGTGTCCGGCTGGACAAGGTGTGGCACGGGGGGTCTAACTGACCCAGACAAACAAGGCCACGACACGCAGGGGAGCGGCAGCAGCGCACACGAATCAGACGAGCAAGAAACAGACAGTGGCGCCCGGGAGCCGACAAAAACAGGCGGTAAACGCAGGTCGGGGAGAGAGAGAGAGAGAGAGAGAGAGAGAGAGAGAGAGAGAGAGAGAGAGAGAGAGAGAGAGAGAGAGAGAGAGAGAGAGAGAGAGAGAGAGAGAGAGAGAGAGAGAGAGAGAGAGAGAGAGAGAGAGAGAGAGAGAGAGAGAGCCGGGCCGACCTCCCCTGACAAGCCGGAGGTCGGGGTTCGTTATGCGGTAAGTCGGGGCCGCGCCCCTCCGACCGACCTGACCCGACCGACGTCCCACCGCGAGCGCCGGAACAAATTGCGCCTAATTGATGGCCGCCGGCTCAACAGGGCATTGATTTGTTATCGTCGAGTTTCCAGGCCACGTCAGGCCGGAAGACGAAACACCCATCCGCGGCGCGGCGCCTCGCACCAGCTATTGCGGTGCGGGGTTAAAGGGTCAACAGGCACCGCACATTACAGCGGGCAGGAACTGGAGCAACAGCCTTGATGATCAAACCGCAGACAATTTTAGACACTGCGGTTTGAACTGAAACCACCGCTCTGCCCAGCCACACCTGGGCCTCTGAGAAGGCCAGAGCGTCTCCCTGTGTGGTCCATGCGCGGCATCTCTGCGCTCGTCGCAATCGTCGCCGGTTGCCTCACCTCGCCGCGATCGTCTCCCGATGACCTTTGGCCGCGCACCGCGCCGAATAAGGAGCAGCGGCGCCGCGTGGCCATCAGCCCACACGATCACCAATATCGGGGCGCCTGACACACGCCGTGACCGGCATATACCGTCCGCCCGCGGGGCAGCGATCCGCCCGGCCAGTGTTACACCACTCACTGCACTCCATTCAGCCGGCCCTAATAAAACCCAACAGCGCGTCATTAATCGCGGACCCTGCTTTTGAAGAGACGGGGCGCTTGGGAGCTCTTCAATACCTAACGAAATTTATATCATACAATTTCTGAAGCGCTGCAGCGGGGTTGCCCAACACGATTTCCACGAAGTCATCCCACTACTCACAGCACGGGCACCCCACACAGGCAGAGAGGAAAGGGCTCCATCACCACTCTGTACTGGACGGGTCACTCTGCCACGATCCAGCCTCGAGTTATCAGGCTCTACTGACGACTGATTCCATTGTCCATCTAGAGATACTGGGTCGAGACACAGAACAACCGAGAGACTGTGACCAGGTCTCACGCGACGTTACCCGTTATCACGCCGTTATCCTGCCGTTCACGTGTCGTTACGGGCCGGCCGGCGCTATCCAAGTGGAGAGTGAAGCGGTCATCAGAAACCCAACGACTTCTGGGTATGCCCGGTGAGCCCACCGGCCGAGAGGAGTTCGGGAAACTACACAAGCCCAATTGTGTTCACACTCCAGGTGCGACCGAGGCGCCGAAATCCTTCCACTGAATAGATAACAAAGAACCATTGGAGCCCATTCTAAGAGAAACCCAAAACGGCGTCAGCCGTCACCTACCCTTCCAACCAGCATTCTTGCGCTCAAGACGACACAGATCTTGTTTGGCTACGACCTTTCACCTTACAGCTACCCCGTCACCCCAGTCTGGCATGCTGCCTCCCCAAGGCCGCCAGCGTTCCCTGGCGGGTCGCGAGGGGTCACTGGCGGCCACAGGGGGCGCTCGTACTTACTGGTCTCGCTCGCTGGAGCTGGCGAACAGTAGTTCGTAGATCTGAGGACCCACGTTCAGATTATGGAGGATGAAGAAGGCGCGTTTCTCTGTAACAGACGAGGGAGAGGGGTGTCAGCGGAGAACTGGGAGGGGTGGAGATGCTCTCGTGTGGGGGAGGCTGCGACGGACGAGGTAGTCAGAGCGATGGGATAAACAATGACAGAGGGGAGATGACGAATACTGACAGCCTATCGATGATAGACAAACCATTAGCTAACGAACAAACTGAATGACTCAAGGTGTTAATAATATATGGAAGTAACACGCAACTGATAATTCTTCAAAACCGAAACATAAATACATCTACAGAGACGATAACTCAAAGAGAGGGTCAGACTTAGCATGACAGGCACATCGAAAAGAAGAAAAAATATCCGTTTAACACTCGCAACAGATAGTTACCTATCACATTCATTCAAATACACACGCACCGTAACCGCGTTTCTCCTATCCCAGGTCCAACCCGGCACCATCCCGCCTACCCGCCTTCCCCATTAGCTATACACCACGACACAGTCCGTCCTTCGGTCAGGTGACAAACGGCCCTCTCGAGAGAAGCCTGACGCCTCCCGGTGGGAGCGACCGCGAACGAAGTACTAGGGACAGCCGCCAGCGACACAGACACCATTACTCATGCACTGCCACCGGACCGGGCGCGTGTGGGGGCTGTCAGGTCGGCCGGGTACAGTGCGTATGGGGGCTGTCAGGTCAGCCGGCCACCGAAATGCGCCCCGCACGACCCCATGACAATACCATAGGATGTGGAAAGAGGTGATTACCAGAGTAAAGCACAAACTTGGAAATCCCATTGTAACAAGTTGATTTGTTATGAAAGAGCGCCAGTCCAGCTACGCAGTAATACCGTTGGGGATTCTCGTCCACCGTCCAGCCCGGGTGGCGAGTCTCCTAGCACGCTCCGTTGGCAGTGGCCGGGGCCAGTGACGGCATGCCACGGGGTACACCGTACACACATTTGCGGACAATGACAGCATCCACATACAAACACGCGCCATACAAACAAATGACGGAGAACTGAAGATGGAGCAATCATAAACCATAACACGAACAGGGACTGGTCAACTGACACGTACCACTGACTGCTAGTTCTCTCCACCTTCTCCCAGTCCCGTCCTATTCTCACCTGTGGCCATTGGTCGTACGAGGATGTTCTCGTTTTTGACGATGGGACTGATCTCCCGCCCGGTCACGGTGTGGAATTTGAGCACGTATTTGTCGTCCTGTTTCTGCAGTAGCACGATAAACTCCTCCAGCAGGATCATGTGCAGCTCCACGTGCTTGCCCTTGTTACTGAACTTCCACATAACAGGCCCCTCGTGTACCATCCGGTACTTGGTGAGGTCCAGCCTCTGTGGCAGGACAGAGTTCCAGTCACGTCACACACATCTCTGTGTGCACTGTGCAGTCTAGGTGGGCACAGTAACAGACTAGATACAGGACCCAGCGAAGCGCTATTCAGAAACGCGATCTGAATGCACACATGCACACATCGGCAAGGACGTTTGAGTGTCCCAGGACTACTCCAAGCAGCGATTTCCTTCGTCTACTCACGCCGTTGAACTCGTTGACGATGGGGTTGTCGACGCGGCTGAAGCCGTTCTGTTCCAGCTTGTTCTGGATCTCGACTAGCCGCTCGTGCCGCTCCGTCTCACCCTTGACCTGGGGCGGAGAAAAGAGGTCACCAGATGATATTGGAGGTCACCACACGTCAACAGGGGTCCACTAACAAAAGACATCACATACAGAAATAACACAATCATTGCAACAATCCAGACCGATAAGATCACCATTTTGTTAAAAAAAAATATCACCACACACCAGCTTGCTAAGTCTGGTAAACCCACCCGCCTTCGCCAGCCCATCTTAGCCCGACAGATGCAGTAGCCACCACGATCGACTACAGAACTGGGCCGATTGCCGACACACTGCCCACCACCGTCCTCACGACAGCGGCACCCAAAACCAGCCCAGCCACATGGCCGTCCAGGCGACAACCGAGCCGACAACCGGTTCCTTGCCAGACCCTCGCCATGCATATTCCATGTCGGTAATTGTCGCCGCGACTGGCCAGGCGCGAACTTTTCAAAGGACGTTCATATAGTCGTACCGTGGACGGAGGAAAACTGGGCCGTGATTCATACAGGCACACTCACTTTTCAAGGCGTTTCTATTTGTCAAATTGGCCGTCGCTGCATTTGGAAAGTTTCCTTAATCGGCGTGGTAAGTCGCCGTGATGTTAGTTACCATGGAAATTCCGGTCGCCCCATGCTGTTCAACGAAGTGAGACAGCTGCTCTGGCGCTCATATAATGATTATCAATGCCAAACCCACCTTATATAGCACTGATCTACTCAAACCAACACCTGTGCGCATGAAAAATTAGGCCAGTTAGATATAACTAAGCTAAGTTCATTCATGTAAGTTCACTCTCCGGCTCACTCCTGACAGATCGCTTTCCTCCCACCAATATCCCGCTACGTCACCCACCCAGCCTCCCATCTTTCTTCACCCCTCTCCCATCCCTTGCCTGTTGCGCGCTCTCACCTTGTTGACATGCTCCAGGATGGCCTTGCTCTTCTCACAGCAGCGCAGTACGAGCGCGTGGTCCTCGGAGCCTCTCACGGTGTACTTGGCCAGGTTGGTCAGCAGCAGCGGATACTTGGTCAGCCGCTGCATGGCCGTCGGCAGGATGTCCTTAAGCTGCAGTCGTCGGCAGACCGGATCGCTCTCTGCCTCCGCCAGGAACGCCGCCAGCCGCTGGTCGCGCTTCTGGAGGGTTTTCAGCTTCTCCAGCGCGATCGACTGACACCGGCAGAAGGCGGCCGCTGCTGTCTTGAAGCTCTCGCCCTGTTCGCCTTCGAACTGAAGAGGGAAGATGGACAGAGGTCAGTCAAGGCCGGGTAGAGACGGCCCGGGGCGGGGCCAGGCCTGGCGCCCGTGGGCGATTTTCCTCACCAGTTCCCGGTAACCATACGGCGTGTAACGGGTATCAGACCGCCAAAGGACACGAATGACCGGGCGATACTGACAAACGAGTTCAATATCAGAGACGATAGAGTGTGATTGGACAGAGTGGAAACGATAAGAGATGGACGGCGTGAACAAAGGGAAGCTAGGTTCTATAGCATACTGTCAGAATATATCAGCTTGACGATATTAACGACTAAAAGACGGGATTCAGCGCAGGGAGAACAAACTTTCCGAGAGGCTCAGTAGGCCCACACAGTCCCGGTGGGGCCAGCATGGTGTAGCGGTATTGCGTTCCATGAGATAATGGCTCAACGTATGGTAATACTGAGCTGGCTAGAGAAGCACAATCCCGTGTCCCAGCTAGCAAAACAAACTAAGTGATTACCATCAGTGTCTGGGGGATGGGAGAGGCAACAAATCGCCCGCAGCTCACCATGTTGACGAGAATGTCGCCGACTTTCTCCATCATGGGGTCCTCCTTCTGCCGCTTCTTCATTGCCGCGTTAAACCTCGAGTGAATCTCCAACAATTCTTCGAGGTTACCTGAGAAGGAGCGTATATAGCGATCAGCATTACAGGCAACACAACCTTTCAGCAGCGTTAGTGAATGCAAGAGACCCAGTGAAACAAGACACCTCATGTGGTAATAGTTCTAGCGATTGTTGCGCCAAGTCATCCCTGAATGCTAGCACTCCTCACGACCATCCTGTTCCCGAGACTAGCTAATTACTGAAGGGAGACCACTTACCGAACAGCAGGTTGATGTCGTTGGGTTGCAGAATGTTGAGGTTGATCATCGGCCGATTAAACAGATGAACCAACACCTTCAGATTTCGAACGTGGGTTCGTTCTGTGTGGAACAGCTCTGAAAAAGACACAGTCACAGGTTATTGGCACTGCAGACATATCTAAAACTTTTAAAAGCTGCAATTGAGTAAACTTCTAGTCAAATAAAACTTGCTTCGGGCAAGAATGCGGTTAGGTGAGTCTGTTTTCTGTCAGGCTAGGAAAGACCCACTTATTTTTGTGATGCCAACCGCCGAAATTATAAGTGAAACCATTCTTCGGGAAAATCCTAGATACAATTTGTTATTCATTCAGTGTAGTTTCACAAACAAACACCAAGCTTAGTTAAGCAAATAAAATGCAAAAAAAAGACCACCCTGCCAAAATTTCCACAACAAGAGATCATGTTCCGGCTCCCGGTGGGACGTAGGTAATTAACGTGGGACCCCGGTTCAACTCCCAGCTGTGTGCCGTGTGCCCGACAGCACACCCTACTCGGTCGACCCTGTGTGCACGCGGTGTCCCATGGGGAGGTAGAAGGCCACGGCACAGACCGTCAAGGCAATGGCCGGCTACAAGACGGAGCGGAACGCGACTCGACCACCCCTCATCTCCAAACGGAACCAATACCATTCCTTGATACGACGGTTATCCTGTGGAGGCCATCGGATTTCTGACTACGAAAAAACTACATCAAAGGCAGGCTTAGCATGAAAGACGACGTGCGTAGAACCTTCCGGAATCGCAAGCTCACAAAGTTACCTAGACCCACTCTCTCCCTATCCCTGTATGTACGAGCACTCGCTACCGCAGTTTTGCATCAGCGTTTCCGCCGGCCTTTCCCATATGTGTCGCACCGATCGATGAGTGATAGGGTCTCCATCAGGTACGGGTCGCCACTGCGGGGAGTACGGGACAGCTCTCAGTGTGATAACGGACAGCGGTACGGATGGACCCGGTCACTTACTGCTCCTCTTGTGCTAGGGATGAACGCAGCGGCTAACACTACCCCAGTGACACTCCGATCCAGCCCACACCCACACCCACGCCCACACACACACAGACAGACATACAGACGGAGTCACACAGAGCGGCGGAAGCAATATCTGCCCACCGCCGACATTCCACCAGGCAGTGGCGGTACAGAGCCGAACCTATCGCCATCGGGAAGCCACGGGGGTCGTGGGAAGAGACGTAATTGAGCGCTTCGCCTAAGAGGCGTATTCATATAACAGCCAAACACCAATTTTCCGGGGCAATACACAAATCTGATCACTGTTCAGAATCATGTTAACGCTCCTCCTGTAACGTCAATCAGACCGCAGCGTCAACAGAACTAATGGAACCATATCTAACAGCCCACAGGTCACAGCATGACTGACATCGAAACTACCCGAAAACCGCTAGTAGTTCTTCTGTGGTTATTTTTGCATGCATAGATGTTTGCCTAACGTCAAAATAAGCACTAGCTTTTTGCATAAAAACGCGTTTAATATTCAATTCCTGGATGACACACCATGCTGACTTCTGAATCCACTGCCAATTGGCCACCTACGCAAAACGCTTTGTCAGAGGCCTGCTGTCAGCTCTAAATATGAAGCTCAATATCAGGCGTCATAAATCGTAATGACGCTGCCACCAGCCCAATGCGGCTGCGCCCGGTCAAAACCGGTCGGCGACCGCCACCAAAAGCGTGCAGTACCACGCCCGTCTCCGTCCCGGCACTCCCCCTGCTCCTAGTCAGGAGATGTATCGAATAATAAAACAGCCGGGGCCATCTGTTGCAGCTATTGATGAGGCTGCCCGCATTGTTATATCTTGGTCATTCATCGTAACACATACAAACAACGTAATCGGGCTGTGAGGATGTCTGGTGCATTCAGCACAGTCAGACCCATTCACTGGAAACAAAACAAGCTGCTTCAAAATGATTCCGGGTAAATGCTACCAATAAATATGTATCAAGAACACTAAGAATAGTACAGAACATGAATGAGCCCCAAAACTTGAAAAAAGACACGACGACTAGCGCAATATTTTGTTGCCTAGTCGCACAGCTTGGTCAAAGCTCGCTACCACACCTATAACGCGTTCTCTACCCCCCTCTCCCACACACACACTACGACAGTGTTTCTCACCGTTGACGACATCGAGCCGCTGTTTCTCCTTGGGCCGGAGGTGGCGGCGCGTCTCGGCGTCAATGGAGCGCTGCCAGTCGGGTGGGTCGGCGTCCACCTCCATATCCGAGTCCCAGCCGGGTGTGCCCTCTGCCAGGGTGCCGGCCACCCGGCCCCCCACCGACACCGTGTCCAGAGACGCCGACGGGCTCTCCTGGCTGTGGGGCCGAGAATACAGGGGTCAGAATGGGTGCGGGGTGAATAGCAGGGGTCAGACTGGTTTGGGGTAGAACACAGGCAGTACACTGGCTATGGAACAGGTCACAAGGCCAGACTGGCTTTGGGGCGGATAGCAAGGTAATCTATAAAAACAGTCAGGAACACAGAACAGCAAGATTGGCTGGAGCTCACAGAGAGTCAGACTGGATGCAAACTGCAAAAACACACCAGTGGGAGTGGTAGTATCACGTAACCCGACAGGGTGTCAACTGTCATGTCAGGGCTCCAGTGGATTATATACGCTGCACATGGAGCCGTAACAGCTCTCCTGACCGTATGAAGACTAAAAACGCATTCACAAAGTGAGCTTCGATCCACACAGTGTGTAGAAAAGCGACGAAAGCCGTACATCGATCTGCGACATCGTGTTACACGCATTCGATACATGTACGGCGCATGTATGGGTGGCAGCTCAGCATGATCGCTAAGCCTGGGGTTGGATTAGCGATGCGATGACGCGATGACGATCCAGCCGCCCAGGCAGCGGTCCATCATGACAGGCTGACTCATGAGGTCCGTTCAGTGACCATGGGTGTCGATCCAGGGGACCACCCACACGCAGAACATCGCTGTTAAACACCGCAATGACATAATGTAGACAGGATGATGTCTCCGTAGGAAAGGCATACGGTCGGTCGCCTTGTCACGCCGTCAGGTCGATTTTCTGTCTGTATACGCGCCGTTCGTAGGCCCACAGACTGACGCGCTGCGCCGCTTGGTCACGCCGCGCGATGGCGCCCCTCCCGCTCATCAGGGCAGCTCTAAGTCTGTGGGATTTATCCTGCCGACAGCCTGGCGCGCCGCCAGTGTCCCCAGCTCCGCCCCCGCTCTGAGCTGACCTTTACGAGCTGCACTCATCACAACCGGCGGCGGCAGCGCGGCCGGCCGTTTACCACCAATTGACAGCGGCACAGCCAGCCCGATCGCCGATCGACCTGATCCACATCAGCCAATTGATGGATTTCGGCCTCCTGGGACCACAAATCTCCCGGGGACGCGTCAGAGCCGATTGTCGAGCACTCGACGAGTAAGACCAACCGATACTGTCGTCCAATAGAGCCACACTGGACTGTCGATGCATCTAAAAAGATGTCGACTCAGCATGGGAGTGAGCTTCCAATGCCTAATCCTGCCAGATTATTGCAACGAAAACTGACGCACGTTAACCCGTTGGCCCGTCCGCCCGCTCACGTCTGTCCTTCCGGCGGCGGCTGCTGCGGTCCAGGCCGGTACCGGGAATCAATTGGGCATCATCTGGCTGCTGGCCTGCTCCAATATTTGCCGTCGGTCGACTGTCCAAACGGCCGTCCGCAGCGGCGCACACAGCCGCTGCGGTCCGCAGCGCGGGCTGGCTGCGATACGTGACAAACAGGCGGGCTGCAGGCCGGGAGCGACCCAGGCTGCAGTGGTCTGCATCAGTCTTCAAAAGTCATCAAAGCTTAATCACTTGTCGCGTTTCTATGTCAAGAGCAGCGATGTTTGGCCATTCAAACTTTGGGCTGCGGCCATTATCCTAGTACGTGACGGATTTCAGTCACTTCAGTCGCGTGAACGGCACTTCATTCATTCTAGAGGCACGTCGCGTAAATATATCTCGTGACGTAGGCGGCGGGATATTGGAGGTCGTAAAGACAGACCAAAGGCTCTGGAATTCAGCCGGTCACACAACACAACAAGCAGCGCTCATCACAGAAGACGTCTCGGATCCATTAGGTACCAAGTAAACAAACAAACCCTGCACTTGCATAAGTCACAATACACAATCCAAGTAGTCCGCATCAAGACCACACAGACAGAAATAACTTCGGATGGACAAGGAATGCTTATGGGGAAGGGAGTGCCCATGCCAACTTCTACGCTTAAAGCCATCACGCACCTGCTGAGCGACAGCTCTAATGACGCACGTCAGAATGATCCATTCTAATCGCCAGATGCCAGATCCTGGCCCACCAAAAATAGTGACCCGACATTCAACAGGCAATCTAGGCTAATACCTGCGCGAGCTGCGTCATTGCCAATGTCTTCTGGGATTCATTAAATGCATTCCTGGAGCTCAACCGAAATAGCCGCCAAGGTGGGGATCCTGGTCTTACATCACATACTAATGACGCATGGAACAGCCAGACCAAAGAACAATTCTTTTCTCCAACACCTCTCATTGGTCATCATCAGTCACATTGGACGCACATGTCTCCAGCGAGCGGGCTAACCAAGATCCTTCATTTCTCTTCTGTTCTGTTCCCGTGTGCAGGATATTCCGTGACTTCTGAGTCCGTCATCCATCCAGGCATTCCGCGACTCAGCTGTTTCAACCACGTAAACACCGGTTTTTGGTTTTGTATTGCAAGTACATGTGAAGCGATAAAGTTATTTCCCCTCTCCCTTCTGTTCTTGCTTACAAGATAAATAAATTCAACGATTCAAACTATCGTCATTGCTTCACATGCACTTGCAATTCAAGACCAAAAACCGGCGTCAGTTACGGACACGCTTTATGAAACGAGGCCACCCCGTTGGCTGCATGCCGGCGCACCCCGAACTCCGGGGGATACCACCGACACCGTGCCTCGACCGACAGCCAATCAGGCCTGCCGCTATAAAGGCGTCCGCTCGTCGTCCTGATTGGATTGCCTCCCCGTCGCCTGACGTGGCTCAGAGTTTCCGAGTTTCCGACCTACCCTACCGGCCGACCGCAGAACGACCGCAGATCACTCGCACACTGCTGCGGCCTCTCAGCCGTCACTCGATGACTGGTCATCGCGATGAAGCTAAAAACACAATCCCTTTGATAGATCTGCTGAGACGCCTGAGAGGTCAGTGTGAACTATGCCTTCGGCCACATCGATAGAGTTAACTCAGTCAAATTTCTTCAAACTGACTGACTTTCAGCGTTATGTCATCATCTGGCGAACGGCGATCTCGGCGATCTTGGCGATCCTCCGCGATCCGGCGGCGATCTTCCGCGGATCATCCGCCGATCCCGTCCACACGATCTGCGCCGGATGAGGTCATCTGACGTCTTAGTTCGCGTCCCGACAGACCAGCCTCGGGTGAGGCGATCCGTATCAAAGCCAGGTCCCACATCGCTCGCCGGATCGGCACGGCGGTGAGTCGTGAAGCCACGACAAAGCGAGCCAGGCGGAGACGTGAAGCCACGACAAGGAGAGACGGGCCACTTGGCGGCAGGGCGATCAGAATAGACTTGATGACAGTAGGCAGCCACGTTGTGCTCCTCTGAATGGTGTTGTAGCACCATTCAGAGGAGCACAGTAGTCGCAGTAGTCCTACATTCGCAGAAGTCGGTGCAAAGATCGTCGTACCAACCAGTCGCCATCGATCCAGTTTAACCCCGTGAGGCACGCGACAGGACGTCTAGCGTGACACAGCAAATTAACAATATGCACGTAACACTAACGGCCCGATATCACGCACATCGGCTCACTCTTTTACACAAGGGATGTACGGAATGGAAGGTACCGGATAATCACTCAACATTACACACGCGCCCGATGAGGACAGAGCTAAAACTCACCGTGCCGAGAGGCTCGAGTTGGACGAACTCCCAGAGTGGTTGTTGTTGCATAGTCCTTGACTGTCGAGGTCGACATCACTGAAACAGAGGCAGACATCACCGGTCAGCATAGGAACACACCTCCCGCCATCAGTAATGCATTAGCCCACACCGGACCCTATCATCGTGACGAACATCAGCGCGCACACAGAGCGACGGACCGGATCTGCGCTCCATCACCCCTCCCCTCCCTCTGTCCCCAGCTGAGGCACGCACAGCGCGCGGCGGCACCCAGCAGGTGTCAGCGGCCACCTATCGCGGCCGAGCCACTCCATCCACGGACCGCAGCTCATAACAATGCTATCGAGAAGTGGTTCACGGCCGTGGCGGCTCAGATAGCGCTGAGAGGGGATTATCGGCGAATGAGTGGCGTATCTGAGAGCAGGCAGACGGCAGTGGTACTCGCGGCGACACTGAACTATAGCACGAGGGGCGCGAAGTGGCAAATGTCATGCCATCCTGAGCTGAAGATAGCTGACCGTTGTTAATTTGTAGGCAGAGTGCTGGAGTGACTGAGAGCTCTTCACTACAGAACAATAAACAAAACACATTGGTTTATGATGTGCTATACCTACCACGAACTGAGCAAATAAATCCCGGCGCTAAAGCGGTCATGTTTATAAATGATGGCGACGTCGGACAAAAGTCTTCCATGTCCCAAAGCGATGGTATGGCAAAGAGGTGCTTGGTGTGCTTTCTTGAATGTGCAGCATTACAAGCATGATTGTGGATTGCCATCACTTATACACCCACATAACTCTCGAAATTATCAGAGAAGGAAACAAAGGCAACGCTCGCAACATGCGTCACGACTCACGACTGCGATAATGAAACGAACTCTGTCAGACTAACAAAGCCTAATTACCAGATAACGCTTAATTGTCCAGCACGAAACGAAAATTCGCAACTGATAACAACGCTACAATTATCAACTAGCGCAAAACACTAGTTACTGTGAGATTCGCACTCATTTTCATGTGACGCACCAAGTCGTTCGAATTCCTAAGGGCCCGTCACTAATCTGTCCGTTCGGCCCAAAGACGAGCGACTAAGGAAACCACCAGGCAGGCCCGTCACCGGCTCCGGACTATAACGGTAGATAAGATTCCGTGACACGCCACCGGCAAAAACGTCCGACTGACCGCCGTGGCGGCTTATGCGACACCAAAGTCAACAAAAGACGTGTAAATAACTGTCGGCCCGATGCGGATACGGTCGAGAGGGGATGGCCACTCCCCTCTACGTCAGAAGCCTACTGTTCGGAAGTATACCGAAGTTCATAGCCTCGTTCTATATACGGAGCTACAGCGTTGATAGGAACCGGCAGACAGGACAGTTTCCAAGCGAGTGTCCGCTGGAGTGCTGCCCTGGTTGACCGCAGAGGAACTGGCCGGCTGTTAGCCCTTTAGCTCGTTGTACATATATGTTGTATACAGACTCGAGTTATCCCTTCTCACCTGTCCTCCGCGCCGCTATCCTCCGAGTCCGAGTGCGACTGATCCGAGCCGTCCGACACAGTGAACAACCTCTTCAACCGCCGCTTCATCGGCTCGACCATGGCCCGCGGCGGGGTGGAGACGAGCGCGGCGGCCGCCCGCAGCCCGCCGCCGGCCGGCGAGCCCGGCCCGGCGCCGGGCGGCGCGGCCGGCACCACGGCCAGCGAGCTGGGCGGCGAGCGGAGACGGCGCTCCACCAGCACCGGCGAGCCGTCCACGGAGTCGGCCGGCGCGCGCGGCCGCACCGCCGCCAGCGTGGCCGCCGCCGGGCCCGTGGATGAGAACACGACCACGACTCCCGGCCGACGGCGGTGCATGCACCGGTAGCGTCGGGCCGACACTCTCACAGGACGGGCGGGCGGCGGTCACCGAGCAGCGTGCGGCGGCGGCGGCCGGGCGACACTGGCGGCCGGTGAGCGGCTGCCGCTGGCGGCGGCCGCGGCGCTCCGTGTCCTGGGACCGGTCCGGGCGGCCGGCCGGCGCCACCCCGTTCGCGCGGCCGACGCGCAGTCGCCGCCCGTACCGCCCGCCGGCAGCGGCGGCAGCCTCCCACCGACTGTCATCGATCGAGCGTGAGAATCACGCATCGGTGCCGTGCCGACCCCCGGGCTAGGTCCGGTGTCGGTCCGGCAGACGGGATGGGACGACACTCGACACGTGCTGCTCTCACTTCCCCGGCAGAGCCCACCAAGGACAGAGCTAACGGCGAGATGTCGGAAACACTTCCGCACCGGCCATCAGCGCCTCGCCGCCGATTCCTCTCACCCCCTCTGCCACCACTCTCGTCTCGGGACCAGCCGACTGCGTAACTATATCCGGAAACATAACGACACGTAGAACAGCTGGTCATCTATGCGTCCCAGGTCACTGCTCCATAGCGACCCACACGTGGCACGCACGTATTCCGACCCCATCAAACAGCGGAAGCGATTCGGGTCCGTCGACAACGTGGCGCCTCCGTCGGGCCGATGAGCCATGGCCGCCTAACGGCTGGGCTGGAATCGAGCCAGGACGAGCGGCGCCTCTTCACGGCCTGATTGGCGGTCATCAGTTGGCCGGCCGGGCCGCGCTCCGGTGCCGATGGGCCGCCAAGTGCCTTCGTTTGAGGTTCGGCCAGCGACCTGGTCATTACGATCTCCGGCGGGTCGGCCCGGGTCACATAGGCCGTCCAGGCGGCGTGATGTCGGCAGTGTGACATTCTGTGACCCCAGTCAGGCCTTCCGACAAACCAGAGTCGTGCTTTTCTCGACAGTGGGCCACCTCGATCGTCGCCCTGTTCCACGGAGGCGACTCGATCCGTCCGGTTCGCGGCGGTATGGTTGGTTGTTACTTGTTATCCCTGCATGCTCCGTCGACCATACGGCTCAATCACGGCACATCATTGGAAATCACTCACAGCAGCTCCATCTTCTCTAAGCGATATAACGGCAGACCGGCCATCGGGCATGGCACAGACCGGACACACCATGCAAAAGTTATATCAATTGTCCACGCTAGTTTCCGGGTACGGAAGCCGCGGGCACTGCGCTGACCGTCACCTCTCATCCAGCCACCGTCACCTCTCATCCCAGTTGGAAATCCAGTCTGCCGTCTTCGCCATTCATCACTTACAGAGACAAATACACGTTTTATCAGACATCTCCACAAACCAGTCCAGCGGGGGCGATAATGAACTGTTCCAGTGCCACACTAGCGTGTTCGCGACCATTTCCAACTGGCGTGGCGACTCAGTTGCTCGCCAGCCGGGTCAGCGAACCTCAGCTCCCAGTGACAAGCACCCCGACACTGACGGACGTCCGGCCGGCCGCCGGACCGATCCATCGCAGGTCTACAGCTCCCCCGGGGGCAGCAGGCGTCGCCGGCTGGATTCGTCGACAGGCCGTCCAGGGCACGCCGACAGCGGCCCGGGGACCTACGACGGACTGACGAGATGGTTCAGGGTCTGAACGCGCGCTGCCAGTGGTCCAGGGATCTATGGCCGACTGACAGGGTGGCTTAGGGACCGAAGAATCGCCGACATGGACAGACGGCCTACTGACAGCCGCCCCATGAATCTAAGGTTCATTGACAAGACGGCTCAAGGGAATCGATTCACTGGCAGTGGTTCAAAGATGGGCGACTCATTGCCAGTGACCCAAGGACCAGCAGCATACCGAAAAAAAAACGAAGGCTGAGCTGCTGACGGGGAGCTGCACCAAGCACAAACTTCAAACCATGATTGCCCGTCGTGAGTCACTACAATGCCCGACTAGCCACGGGATCGTGCGCTACGCACATAAGTTGACATTGCTGCCGGTAGATGGCAGTATGAGGAACGCCGGAAGATAGACTGCGCCGCAGAGCTCAAGCGCCCGATCCTACGCTGTGCCGCACTGGCTCAACGCAGCATGCGTTGGGTAACGGAGAACTGAGCATAACTAATGATCCATAAAGTCAAATGGAAGCGAGCACCCACATTATAATCACGGAAGTTTTGTGCGTTCAGTATAAAGGCAAGTTCACTACACTGGATGGCACCGAGCACCACAGCACCACTACTCGACAATCGGAGAATCCCGAGCAACTGAGCGTCCCACTGAGCACCCGACTCAGCGTCCCACCCACCTGGCGAAGAACTGGGAGCGCGACCGCCCCACGGTGCGCCGCTCCAGCTGCGGGTGCAGTGAGAGCATGCCGTCCGCAGAGACACGGCCAGAGAACGTCTGTCGGGAGGCCGCGGACGCCGGCGGCACCTCCCGCTATCAGGCGATACCGGGCGACATCATCCCGCCGGATTACCGCCCACTTCTGATAACACCCGCCGGCGTCCACCCCGCCCCCGCCCCGGAGTGGGTACCCCTCTCACAGCCAGCCGGCCCCTTCCTTCGCCCTGGCGTCCGACTTGGACGTGCGACGTTTCCGGCGCATGCTCGCGCTATTTCAGGTCACGTTTTTGCTGGTCGGCCGAATATTTTCCGCTGGCGGCGGCGGCGGCGGCGGCGGGGTCCGCTGAGAATACGGGCTCGAGTTCACAGGGCAGCCAGCTCATGACTAAAACAAAGCCGCCGTTCCCTGGTCAGTTTCACGGGGGACGCGCGCGGTCGCGCCGGGCAGACGGGCGCCTCCCGAGGCGGCGGAGGCGGCGGCCGTCCGCCCACCTGACTCGAGATACACGGCCAGTCGATAGGACGAAGGTCGCTCGATCCACCGCCGCGGGGAGCGGCCTGACGAGCCGACCGACCGCACCGCGGCGGCGGAGAACACACGCACTGGGCCGCCGAGAACAGGTGGACGGCAGGCGGCAGCGCACGACGAGCGAAATTTTGTTTGTTATGCCATGAATCCCAAAATATGCTGTTTCATATTGCGTATCTAAAAATAATTTAATTAGCGCCTACACACACGAGATTATAAACCCATTTTTCTAGGCCTCATAACTGCACACCTGTGTGCGTTATGAGTATGTCATGACGCCGGTGTAAATGGGCGCCGTTTTCCCCCACCCCTGCCCAGAATAGTGACGCCGACGATGACCGATGGCGTCCGTGACGCATCTCGTCACGGCCACTCTGACGCTCAGCAGACGCTATAGTGGCAGGAGCGCGTCACGCGCCGCCCATTGACAGCGCCCGGAGGCGCGACAACCCCGTCCGCGCGCCAGAGAATGCGCCAAACACTGACCAAATGACGCCATAATTAGCCACTGACAAACTTATGGCAGCGATCCCGCGCGCGCGTCCGTCCATTTCCGGCTCGCGTTGGTCGCTGGCACAGTGCCAGCACATTTCTGCCCCCTCTCGCCCTGCCCTGCTGCCCCAAAGTCCCAAAACACCACCGGACGAGCGTCTTCCGACACGGCTCCAGCGCGAGCATAAATAAACACGCGTGCTTTTCCAAAACCCATGAGGCGCTCACCCACGCCGGCTGCCAGCCACAGACGGCCCAGAACGGGCCCCACATCACTCAGGAGGCAACCGGATCTCACTTTTCTCCGGGTAGCTTAGTTTAGGCCGTAGGGCGTAAGGTCCAGTAACGCACCATACACCAATCCTCGTTAGCTGAGTACGTTCAGACATGAGCTCGTCCCGAAATGAAGTGGTCTGTCTGACTTCGGTTTGAGTTGTAGCCTCATGCCTAGAGCCAGCGTCACCGTCACCGCCGCCGTCGAGCTCACCGCCCAGTGAGCTGATCCCCCCGTACTCCGTCCGGACGCGTGTGGCTCACGATTTACACCTCGGGCGCAAACAGGCCGTGTGCGAGCCGCCGCCGTCCCCGCCGCACGCACCGCCGCCGCCCCCGCCCGCGGCCTTCGGCAAAATCGGCCGCCGCTACGTGCCAAGAATGCCAATGCCGACGCGGCCCGCAACAGGGCCAGCTACCAGCTGTTGGACGCGTCACCGTGAGATGTGCAGCTCCCTCGCCACGCGCTCCCGACTCATCGCCACGCATGGACGGAACTCCTACCTAAACGTCCGTCACAGACACAGCGCGGGTCATGGAACTGACATCGCCCATGGCTTACATGCTACTCATGTGCGGTGTTTTCCAACAAACATGAGTCATCAGCGAAGAATCTCCAAAAGACGCACACAAGATGAAACGTTTCTGAGAACACTAAACCAACAGCCATGAGTCAAGCGCCTCTCAAACTGACAAATATACTACTTTCTCCACCGAATCGAGGAAGAAGAGACACGAGATTAAGTCCCAAAAACTTGATTTCGGCATCAAATCTAGGGCAATGCATGGATAAGGGATTATTATCTGAAAGGAATTGGTGTCTGCTAGAACGGTTTGGTCGTCGCCTCCTGGAAAATCTGATGACATGACACGCCTCAGCTGGTCCAAGAGCTCCAGCTAGTCAGCCAGACATACATAGTACATACCTCTGTGAGAGGACGGCCCTCTCCGAGAAGACCCTCCGAGACTCTGCCAGCGAGGCGGGCAGCGTGGCCGCTCGCCTCTTGCTGGTGCTGAACGACGCATGTCGCTCCGCCGGCCGCATGGCCGACGCCGAGCCTGCCGAGCGGCGCGTCACGACGGCGGCTTGCAGACGTCACAGACGTCACCGGGTCGTCACGTCACGGAGGACGCTCGGCTTCACAGCCGGCGCAGGACGGCACCGGTCTTCGACGGGCCACTGACGCGTGATATGGCGCCGCTGCGCGTCACTGAGGAATGCGCCGAGTCCGGCCGAGTAAATCACTCAAAACGCTCTCGCTCACTGACGTCACTAACGCCAGGTGACACCCAGTGACGTCAGAGCGTCGGAGGAGGCTGAAGATGCTACCCCCCGTCCAGAATCGCCTCGCAGCACTGCTGTCCACCCGGCGGCGGCGCTCCAAAACTAATCACTTCAACCCACACAAACTACTCGAACTCGTCACATTACCCACGCCCGGAGCGTCTCACACGCTCAAACCTCACACATATGGCCACCACTGACCGCCACACCGGCTGTTTCACCGCTCCACACTGCAGCACTGCCCGGCCAGCCGGCGCGTCCCGGCGCGTCGAGCCGCCGCCGTCACCTGGCGCCGCTGGGGCCGCTCTGCAGCGCAGGTGCCGTCGCCGGCGCGTCCAAAGTCGACTCGCCGCTGACAAAGGCGTCGGCGTCGACGCGGCGGCGGCGTCTCGTCTCGTGGCGCCGTCGACGATCGTTAGTCAGATTGGCGGCGGCTAACGCACCATGCAAACACTATCGACGCCGCGCCGGTGGGGAGCCGCGCGCGCGCCGCCGCCGACAGCAGCCGGCCGTCCGCGATAGCAAAAATATTGACTGGCCGATACGCGGCTATTTATCCAGCACTCTGCAGCGAGCCGGCGCGCTCGGGCCGAGGACCGGCCGGTGACTCGCGGCTCGGTCGTGTCACGGCTCCGGCGCGGGCCCGAGAGCGGGCCGGCGGCCAACTGGCAGTCGGAGAGCCCGGCGGGGACCGGCGGCGGCCCGGCTGTCGGCCGCACCGACTCCTACTCGGGTTCACCAGTCAGAGCAGTGACAAGAGGTGTGGAGTGACTTCCCGTAACAGCCGAGCGGCCTCACGGCACGGCAGGAAAAACGCCAGACGACAGCGCGGCCTTTTGCATTTATCCGTGCAAACAACCCTTTGAGTGATCCTTTCGTAAGTGGGTAAATAATAACCCAATCCAGCACTCGTGCAGTGAGCATACAACAATCAGCCCTTGTGTTTATCGGCGTCCGTTGCGGTCTCAAGAGGGCCACAGCCGACTGAGATGCGACTCGTCATAATCTCCATCGTTCCGACAGTCGCCATCCTGCCTGCGCCGTCACCGGCGCTCTATTCCTGCGACTGCCCGGTGACGCGGCGGGGTCCGGCTCCGCGCCCACCGGACCTCCATTCATCAGCTGGCAGCGGCCGCTGTCTTAATGAGATCGTTAGAGGCGCTCCATGAGCATACATCACACACCGATCGGGGTGAGGTCCTTGACCGAGCCTCGGCCGCAGACCTACACTCAGGCTTGTCATAGACATCCACGCAGAACGAACGCTGTGAGTTAAAATGTTTGGCCTGGAGGTGCTTTGGAAGCGAAGTGACTCTCAGCTCAAAGGAACCATTCTGCAGCGATGGCGTAGAGCGCTCGTCGGGCAGGCTGCACCGCCCACAGGTCATCGATTTTGGGCCGGACCGAGCGGCCCTTCACCCCGGCTGCCACAGGCAACGCAGGTCGAACCCGACTCGAAACGTCCAGCCGCTCCACAGACAATGCAGCGACTTAGTGAGGCCATTGAGGAGCCGAGACCATTATCTTAGAAAAATACGACGGCCAATTTCCAACGGACTCGAACTGAGCTCCATTTCCGGGATAAGCGACTGTGTGAGAGCATCGTTCTCGACACGGTTGCAGCGATGCAATAGTCATCAGTGGAGTTCACATCTGGCGTGCGAAGTGCTGATGGAATCTTACCACATCTGCCTGCCGCAGTACCGCAGTCAGACAGCCGGCATCAAGCACTGCCATCTAGCGTTTGTCGGACGAACTTAGTGAGAGGACCGCCCAGATGTGCCTCGATCAGGCTGGCTGATGTGCACCCGCACCATTGCACCACTCTCACCGAACTCACCTGACTTTGGAGCTGGGGATGTTCGGGTCGCTGTGTTTCCTCTTCTCTCGTGTGTGTCTCTGCAACAGGTGACAAATCGTCAGAAGCTAGCCCACACATCACAATCAACACATGCAGCCAGCCGCGAGACAAACACCACAGCGCCACCTATCCATCTTCGATCAAACTATAACTTTCCCATCCACCGCTAGGGTCTCCATCTCGGCACCCCACCACCCCAATCTGTCCCTAGCCGACGACCGTCACTCGGCACCCCACGTGGCGGCACAGAGCGCCGCTGGCGACGTCAATTTATCATCGGTGCGGGGCGGGCGGCGGGACCGTCAATCAGGCTCGACCTGAGGAGCGGGGTGACGCCAATTTGGTACAGCCTGGAGCTGTGGCAAGGTCAAAGACCGTACCGATGGTCCCGTAGATCAGGTGGAGGCGCGCTAGTTTCTACAAGTCCTGAATTTCCTGCACAAGCCAAGATTGAGTTGAGGATTCGCCACGGCCCACACAAACATCCGCTAATTTATAAAAACAGACTGTTGAAAGCTTCCTGAAGTGGGAGAACAGAAATACAGCTGTTCGAAGGCAGTTTAAACCCCATCGCTGGCTGCTGCCCAGGAACCTGTCTCATAAGTAAGTCCAATTGACTTTTATTCCAAAATTGCCTGAAGAGGTACAGCCCGGCATGCTAGGATTCTTCCAAGAGCCCTGCCTCTGTGTTGCATGGGTCGTGAGAGACCGTCCCCCTGCTCCTCACTCCCCAACCAATCGAGCCACTAATCAAGAAACACCAATCAGCCGCCTCGGGCAGTTTGGCCGGACGGGCGTCTCACCAGTTCAGTTTTTGCCACGGGACGAGCTGTCGGCAGCTCAGGCCGGCTGTCAGACCCCGCCACAGACATAACCCGTCCGCAGCACTGGCGGACACAGAGTGTGGCAGGCGAACCCTGCTAACCAGGCGGAGAATACAACCGGCACCGGTAGGTCACCGCCAAAGCCAACCAGGACAATTAAAACCCAATGATCAGAGAAGCTAGGCAGCTTAAATGGCGATAAAGTAGCGTCACTGCTCCTTACTTCCCATGGAGTAACAGGTCAGAGACCCTGGAAACTGACGGATAACCCGTACCGTGTGGCGCCGGGGCCATCCACGGAAAACCGCACGTTTCTGAGCTCTCCACAACAGGGCCCTGAAAACTCCGTGTTGCACGAGCTTATAAAGGTGACAGTCTCTCCAATCCCGACCGGCCAGTGACGGCAGTGACACCTCCGTCAGCGACGGGGCGGCGTCGGGCCATTACAGTGCCGCCGGCTACGGCCACGGCGCGGGGCCGGCCGGCCGGCGCTGACAGGGCCTGATGGATGGCCTACGCGCCGGCGACACGGGCCCGCTCATCAGCGGGGGCGGGCCACACGCGGCGGCGACACCACGGGGCTCTGAGTCAGAGCCAGTCACACCGGGACGGATCCAGGTGTGAGACGACGGGTCACACGACCTCACCCGGCAGCGGCGACACTTTTAGACCGTCACCGGACGAGTCACTCGCCTCCTTTAGTAGGAGCGGCCGCGCCCGGACAAAGCGTCCGGCAGCGGCCCGCCCACTCAAAAACCGGACAAACACGGACGATTCAGCCAGTCCATTACACACAATAAGACGACCGGAAAGCCTGGCCGCCGGCAAAAACTCGTCCCTCTGACTATCCAATTTCCCAAGATGACACAGCGATTCATTCGGGATGGCCTAGAGCTACAGTTTTTGAAATGAACATAAATAAGCTGACCATTCACGAACAAGAGGGTCACTAAAAAAGAAGAGCACTAGAAGTGGAACGATTTCCATAAATAATGACCAACCATCCTATCCGGATTAACTTCACAAAGCCTATTTATATATCGCAACATCATTAGTTCGTACCTCACAGGAATTAACGATTTTATGCCACCCACCACTCCCAGTCGGGGACACATCAGCCCATTTTGCCACTCCCCAGTAAGCGATACCCCACTGCTCCCCCACACACTAGCGGCCTCACTCACCCGACTGTTGCGGTGGTCCCGGTAGCTCTCGGACCGGGTGATGGCCGTCGACGCCGGCTTCTTCCCGATCTGCGGCGGACCGCTGGAACAGACAGCAAGGACACGGTCAGCTATGAAGTGGAGACAACAGAGCACCAGGAGCTGTGGAGCTGTGCCATGAATCAACAATGCCAAGCTAGCGCGGGTTTGAATTGTGTATTGCAAGACTCCATTCATTCTTGTAAATAACGCACGTCGATTTATGCAACAACTGAGTTCAGGGAAGGTATGGCAAGTTCACGAAAGAAATGCAAAGATCGGTGAACACCGTTGAACCATAGAGGAAAAAAAAACGCGCGAACATCCATTGCGCCACGACGCCTCAGTGCGCTGGTCGAGGGCAGCGAACATCCGGTAACAACAAACAACAAACAATATCAACAAACAATATCAACAAACACAACCACGCTTCAGTCCCACACGATACCCCACTGCCGCCCTAAACCATCCCCAATCAGTCCCATGACCCCTCCCCCATCCGCCGGTACCCACCGAACCGGCGACCTATCGGGCGAGTTCTGGGGCGGCACCGGCAGCCGGCGCCGCTGGGCCACCTCCTCCGGCTTCAGACCGTTGTGCAGCCGCGGCATGGCGCGACTGGCGGCGGCGCCGTCACGGCCGTCACCCGTCACACCGTCACGCGGCGTCACACCGGCGGCGGCGCTGTGCCCTCGGCGGCGCGTTCGGGCCCCCGCCGCGCCGCGGTTCGCACTCTCTCGCTCCGTGTTGTCACTGACACGCTGCCGCCACTGCCGCCGCGGCTCTGACTGTTTGGCGTCCCACTCAGCGCGCCGGAAGGTCTCTGGTCGGCGCGCAGCTCGCCACGATAGAGCCCGCCGACGTCACTCCCACGTTTCCTTCCGACGGAGCTGTGCTACTTCCGTCGACTGCGCTCGGACGCCACTAACGCTCGGTGATTTGGCCGGACGCTCCCAGCGAGGGAATGACACTCTCCGAGTAGATGCGTGCTCCTAACCTGTGCAGAGGTGGGGGAGGGTTGGATGACCCGTCTGTCCCCATCAGTCCGTTTCAATCAGAAGCTTCGGCCGCCGAGCCCGATTCCGCGGTCTCTCGGCAATCCATGCCGGCGCGGCGGCCTGATCCCGTTGATCCGGTGCTCTACAAGTGGCCGGGCGGGCGGTAAGTCCGCGGAGATGGGCACGCTCGCGCCCCGCCCAGGCCCGGGGCGCGCCCGCCATTGATCGTCCGTCGACCGGCGGCCAATCAATGCGCGGCTCCACGCCGGCGGCGCACCTCTGCCGCCGGCGCCCCCTCCGACCCCTACCAAAACAAACCGACCCGGCGTCACCTAAAAGTTAAAACCAACACCCGTCAGCGGCGGCGGCCGCGGCGGCTGCCGAGCCAGCGACCGCGTCACCCACTGCGGTAGTGGGAACACCACGGGACGTCGCCGTCGTCGCTGCCAGTGGAGCGACACCGGTCCCGACCCAGACAGGGCCGCCCACTCGAGGCTCGACCGTCGCAGCAGGCCTGTCGACGGGGTCAAGCCGCCGTCGCCGCCGACGCGTCGATTAGCGTAATGGCCTTGTCTCGGCCGAGGTCCGGTTCCGGCACGGTACACGGCCGGCGCCCCGGCGGGACCGGCACCGCGTCAGGCGACCGGCGCCCGCCGCGGTCGCCGCGCACGCACGCGGAAGGCGGGTCGCCGTCCTCAGCGGAGTTGGCCAGCCGCCGGCCGCCGACACGACATCAATTACTGGCCGTACGGCCGGGCGGCGGCGGCCACACAACAGCTCCGGCCGGCGCGCCCATCTATCACCGGCGCCGCCGGAGCGATGGATCGGGCGCGGCCGGCGCCGCTCGGACGCCAGGGGACGGCGAGCCGTCCGTCCAGCGGTGCCCGGCCGCCCCTGTCCGCTCCGCCCCGGTCCTTGCCGGGTGCAGGTCTGCAATGTGCGCCCGGTGACCTGTCCAGTAAAGGTCAGTCGTTAGCATCGAACAGCGTGCACCAGACCAATCGGCCGATCGAGCGTCCGGCGGCTCTGGCGAGGCCACCGCCGCTCCGACAGCTCTGGCACAGGCGTCTTGCACATGTCTGAAAGCCGTCCAAGGGTCATGGAGAGTTCAGGGACTAAACCAGATAAAACAGTGTAACTGGCTTCATGTAGAACTCCAACATGTTGACATCAACCGGGAAACAACTCTGAAACAAGTTAAAAGCCCTGCTCTTACGAGTCTCACACGCGCCCGCATGTTTTTCTTAAAACACCTTACATACCGTCAAGCCGACAGGTGATTGCGATCCGCGATTGCGCCTGTTACCTAACCACTAACCAGTCATACCAGCCAAGCCGGCTCCATCCCGATCCGGTGGACCCATGCAGTGCTGGAAAGGCCCCAACACCGGGCCGGATGCCTAGCCAGGCGCTCTCTGCGCAACCGCTCAACTTTCTCTGTCGTCGTGACAGGGGCCAGTCGTTTCGCCAAGTTTGATGGCCGGACACATACACAATGCGGCATCCGTCATGGGATTGGCCTCAGGGAGGTTCCTATGACCCCGCACCAATGACATCGACGACGAAAGCGAATGGATTATTGACGGTAAGGGCTGACGGACAATCATTTGAAAATGTCAACAGCCAACCAATCGAGAAGGAGAGGTCAGTGCAAAATGTTAACACAAAGTAGAGCATCAGCCTTGGTTGAAAGGATCATCATTCAGCATATCGGGCAACATCTTTTCTCTTTTATGCATTTCTCGTTGCGCGTTACCACCTGTGCAATATGCACAATGCACATCACATCATTCTGGACGGAATCGGACGCCCTATTGCCTTATCACCATCTCTCCGACCTGACTGGATCTCATACAGCACTCCAGCGGAGCAGCAGGCTCCGGCGACGGTCGCAGTAGCGCGCCCGTCCAGTCGCCGAGCTCAGCCCTCGAGGTCCGTCCGTTCGCTGCCATCGGAGGGCCACCGCCCTATCAGCTTCCACAGTCGGCGCAGGATGGCACACAAAGGCTGGAGTGGGCCACGAGTGCCGCCGTCCCGAGTCGGCACACACTGCACCGAGGGAGAGAGGGGGAGGGAGCGGCGCATATCCTGCTCTGCCGCCGGCCGGGCCTCCCTGACTGACAGCGGCGCAAACACACCGCCCACGCCCCGCGCCGCGCACTCCGCCGATGGCAAAGATAGCGTATTTTGCGAGGGGCGCTCACCACCAAATGCCTCTGAATAGCAAAACGATGACATATGCGCCATAAACGCTGAACTGAGGCTGCTACCTGCGGGGCTGACTCAGACTGAGCGTCGTGCAGGCTTTGAATCCAATCCAGCTAGCGATCAGGGACGGCCAATGGTTTGTCCATGTCCAGTGTACCCGTCGGAGATAGCTGACCGGCCGACAGGGGCGAGTCGGTACCGACAGGCGGCGCGGCTGGCCGGGCCGACGTTTATCGCTATTGGCAACGACACGTGCACCGCTGGCAGCCGCCGCTCGGGCCGTGTTCTGGGCCGGTCTCAGAGTCGACAGCAGCCCTGGCAGGGCCCCGCCGCCCGCCGACCGACCGACCACAGCCAGCGCCGCCGAAAACAGTGACGCAAATCGCCACAAGTCGCTACCAGATGATGAAAAATCATCTCACCTGGGATATTAATGGAACACATCTGCCAGATTTATGAGCTTCGGAAGTTGGCCATAACAAAGCTGACAAAAATATAACGACGCAGCTATTTGGCACGAAGAATCCACAACCTCAAGGCTACGGACCCACTCATCACAAGGCAGGCTGTCACCTTTGTCCAGAACCACCTAATGTCACTGCGCTGGCCTAACCGCTCAGAGCCTCAGCCGACCGACCGAGCGACCCGCTGTCGTGACCGCGGGGCCGCTGGGGAGTGCTGTGCCGTCACCGCTCCCAGTGATGATGAAGGATAACCCCGCCCGCTGAGCGGAGGTGCGCCCACGTCGCCCGACTGTCCACTCCGGTATGACGCCACGCCGTGATCGGGGACGCTGGGTGCACTGAATAATCAGAGGGATGCGCTGGGTGATGTCAGATGGTGGTGAAAGGAAATGACGTGCATGCTGCACGGTGAAGCATGGTGATTGAGAGGAAGCCATAGACACTAGAGGGCAAAACAATCTTGAAAAACTATCGACTCGTATGTCAAACCGCGCGAAACTAGTCGGAGACAAACCACCAAAGCCACTATTCTCCGAGCTTCTTCCAGCATGGACATCAAGTTTCACAAAACTCCGTAGCGCCATTCAGCATCACCCAAACGGCGGCGCTGATCTCTACCCGTCCCACCTCTCCCCTCCTCTGCACAGGTTCACGGGCTCCCCCGTCCGACCCACCCCCACAGAGCACACGGAGCACAGGCGGCCGGAGCACAGGCCGCCGGAGCACAGGGGGTCGCACGGAGGGTGGCGCGGGGGCAGCTCACAGACAGCCGTCGGCCTACTGGCTGCCGGCGGACCGGGCTGCCGTCGAGCGGCGCCGACCGACTGCGCCTGGGCCCAGCGCCAGCGGCCGCACCGCGCGCCGACCCCAGCTCGACGGCCGGCGCGTCGATGATCGGGCAGCCTGGGGAGGCTCTGGCCAGCTTCATGTGTGCGCTAGGCCGTGACAGGGAGAACACCATGTTCATCAGAGGGGCGGAATAACAGACGAGCTGTCGATGCGGTGTAGTTTCTGCCAACACTACACCCCATCCCTCCACACAACCGCTAAACATCACAACACCACCTCCTGGCACCCTCCTGCCCCGTGTGACCCCTCCCCACGGCGTCGGCCCGGCGCGGGCTATTGACGCCGTCGACAGCCGCTGACTGGTGGCCCACATGTCAGCCGGCCGGCGGCAGCGGCGCATGGCTGGCACCGGCGCGCCGCTCGTCCCGTCCCGTCCCCGGCAGCCAGCCGCCCAGCCCGAGCGGAGAGCCTATTTTGGGAGAGAGCCGGCCGCCCGGGCCGATCTGCCAAAGCGCACATCAAGGCTGCACACGGCCAATGGGCGCCGCTAAATAGCCCACATAAGCGGGCCGCCAATGTCCCCCGCAGCTGGATTTAGCTGTTGTCCTAGGCGACCGGCCACCTGACGCGATGGATGGGTCGAGTCGGCCGGAGATAGACTACAAGATTACGGCAAGGTCGCGCGCTACGTCTTACCCCCGTGCACGTCACGAAACCAGACGCAACGCTACAAGAGCTTTAAATAAATCCGAAAAATTTACATCCAACAGCGAGCAACTGTGATGAAAGAACATTTGCAATTGCAAAACAGGACAAGTTGGCCACCCTCGTTTCTAACACGCGCAACAAACAGAAACAGGAATACGCTGCGCCTATTCTCGGAGGCGGACGAGGGCAATATTCCCAGCAGGCCCATTGAACACGGTCGCGCCGGCAGCGCTCTGCCGGAGCAGCGGCGCCACCCGCCGCGCAGTTCACAAACCTGCCGATAGATGGCAGGTGCGGCGGCTGCCGGTGGCCGCTCCCACCAAGGCCGGCCGGCCGGCTCTGCGACGCGGCTACTGTGTGGGGCCATCGGCGTCACAGCCACTGCAGGCGCGGCCGGGAGCCCCAACCCGGACAGCCAGCTGTCATAGTCGTCAGTCCGGTGACATTGAGGCCCGGACAGACGGCCCGGAGCCGCGCAGTGAGCGAGCAAACTCAATGAGGCAGAGAGGCATAGTCCGTAGAACATCTGCTGCGTGCCGCCAGTACCCATCATAGCAGTCGAGGGACAGGGGCAAAGGCGGTCTATCATTGATACTAGCATCCGCATATTCAACGCAACCACATATTCGCCAGCATCCGCACTCTCATCTGAGCACCACCGTCTCTCTGTCCGCCTATCCGTCTGTCCTTCGCCAAGTCACCAGACCTCCAGCACCGCCCGCCCAGGGTCCGACGGTCACTCGTCTGTGGACTGACGTCATCTCGGCTAGCACAAACACGGCCTGTTTTACCGAGTGGACTGTTGGGCCGAGCCGAGGCGTCCAGCACAGCCCCGCAGCGGAGCTGGTCACTGGGTGTTGCGCCACTGTGCAGTGTGACACCCACGCCAGAGAGAAATGGTTACCACCAGTGATAGATCGGTGACGCTGACGGCTGGTCAGCAACGTCCACCGCTCCTCCAGTCCAGCCAGTCAACGTTACAGCTCTGTGAATCATGGACCACCTTTCTCCGGCCTTCTCTCGAGTCCAGGATTTGAGACACACCCGGCTAAGGTGGATAAGAGAAGGATGGGCCGCCTCTGTCGGCCCCGAACACACCATATCGGATAGAACACCAGCTGGTCAGACCTGCCGAGAGAGCGGGTCCGACGCCCTTTACTGAAGGTTTGGGTGCGGCAGAGGTTTAGCCATGAGTCGTCTTATACACTTCCCGCTAATCTATCCCTGTCATCCCACACCATTCGGTGCTGTCATCAACAGGCTGTCATTGCCGATCAACCAGTGACAATTCGTCAGAAGGGTTTCATCAGACAAATATAACCAGTTCTCCAAGGTGTCGAGCGAAGTACTACCCGGCACAGAACAGGATCTGTGAAGTAGGAAGAGCCGCTCAGCCAGGAGCCCGACGTCAAAAGTTACCAGAACGCCGCGACGCCTGTCCGATTCCTAGATACGACTACAATGAGACAGGCAGGTGAGATTAATGGGCTCGGCATTCCTGATCACATTTTTCTGGGAAAATCGCCTCACACCAGCGCGCTGAGCTCGACATAGCACCGACAGGAGTGGTCGGTAACCGTCCGTCAGGAATGCAAGTTTAATGCACGCCCCATCCGAAATTCATCGACCCGACTCCCTGGCAACACGGCGCTAGCGGGTGCCGCCAGTCAGACCCGTATATCACACGAAAGGTGCACCCCACGGCGCGCCCGGCACCCGCGGCGGCGGGCGGAGCACCCAGTCGATGTGCACATGAACCGGTCCTCTTCACATCGTCTGGAGGGCCCTCCACCCTTCCAGGAGAGCCGACCGTTGGAGCCAAGTGCCAACCCTACCACCACCCATGAGCCTATTCAGGAGGCCGAGCCCGCGTGGGTCAGCCCGTCACGGCCCGACCCAGCCCCCAGCTGCCGATCGTTCAGAGATGCACCATCGATCTCCCGGCGCCGATGTCACGTCGATATTGTCTAGTCTGGGTGTCAGATGGCAGTGGATGTGTCGGCGGCGACCCCGACAGTGACGGTGACGACAGACGACAGTCATCACCGCCGCTCCTGCTGCTGCCACTGCTGCTACATTGTATACAGTGACGACGCCAAAGCTCCAGTCGTCTGAGGGTGATAATGATGGTTGAATTTCTAGAAGTCCCGAGATGCAATATTCATTAACTCCCACCGGCCGTCTGTAGAAAATGAAGTCGAGCCGAAGCTGTGGACTGAGAAGGACGCTGCTGAGGGGAAGAAGGTCACCCAGGAGGGGAAGGTCAACAGGGCCACTGACCTGTTGGTGGAGCCGACGTCGGCGCCGTCGAGCGGCTCGTCGCCGCGCCGCTCATCCTTTTCTGTGACTGTGTCTGGTCGCCGCTGGTCGGGCCGGCCGCTCGCGGGGACTGCCCGGTCACCTGTGCAGACAGGGAGACAGAGGTCAGTTGGGGTCACATAGGGAGGTCATGTCACTTGCATAATGCATAATAAATATATATATTCGGAGATTAGCAGAGATTTTCACAAACATGAGACAGGTCAGGTGTTTGTACGCACAAACGAAACAGATTTTAGCTCTTTGCACAATGCACATACAGGACACGACAAATAATGCAAACAAGAAAAAAGGTCATCAATCTATTTAGGGAAATAGGGTTATGACACAGATACTGAAGCACGCCTATTGTTTGCACGACCCGTAGGCTTCATTGCTTTTACATAACTACTCAAACTAATCAATTCATGTGACCTCTTTCCACACCAGACCAGGTTCAAGCGCCCATTGATTAAACACTAATCCTCCCCTTCCCTCCCTCAACCGGACAGTCACACAGGGTATCGCCTGGACCACGCCACCTCGCGTGAACACCACCTAAGCGGCGCTTCGTCCAGCTTTAGTCCATGTGAGTCTCCGTGTGATTATCATGCAGCCGGCGAAACACCGCGAGCAAATAGAGACCAGCCGCTTCTAGCCAGAAGAGAACGGCAAACAGGACACGGTATACACGACCACCCTGTGTCAGCCGAACGCGGCCCGACCCGCCACCTTCGACCCACACAGTCATCAGCAGAGTTTTTGTCGAGTTCAGACCGAAGGCCAGTGACGGCTTCAGCAGGGCATAAATCTACGCCAAACGTCATACTTCGCAGGAAGGAAGACATTTGTTACGAATTTATCTTATTATTCCTGGATGCCATCTCACAGCCGCAGCGTTCGACAGAAATATCTGCCGATCTCTAACTGACCTACTTCCACGCTTGATTGGTTTATTTGTGATTTAATCGCGTGCCTCTGGGTTCGCGCATTCCTGCACGGTTCGATTTTAGTGTTCCCTGCGGATCCAATACGTCAGCAGCTAGCTGCCGGTCACGGTGGTGAGTTCACGGCCGATTCTGTATGCCGTGAGAGACTCTCCATCCGTCCGTTCCCGTGAGGCCCCGGCGCCGGTCCGGGCCGGTCCGTTACACGGTCTAACCGGGCCGCGCCGCGCCGTATCGTTTCGGGGGACCAAGCCGGCGCCGGTGGGACGCTGCTCGGCGGCGCGTTACTCCGTGCCCGACTGAGGATGCCGCCTGTCCGCCGGCGCACGCCATCCGGCGCATCAGTACGCCATCGGCGTCATCGCCGCCATCAACGCTATCATCACCACAACATAAGCCGATCAAAGCTGGCGCACAGACGGCTACTAACGGTGGCCGGTGGACACTGGGCAGTGGACGGCAGGCATTGGACAGTGGACACTGGGCAGTGGAATGTGCACAGTGGACAATGGGCAGAGGGTGGTGGACGGTGGGCGGTGGGTGGAGGACGTTGGTGGGCGGTGGGAAGTGCAGAGTGGGGCAGCTCCGTTACCACGGTTCCACCGGCGCGGCGTGGCGGCGTTAATGAGGCAAACGGGCTCTAAACGAGCCGTAACTCGCCGCCCACGCGATATTAGTTCCCATGACCGTCTGCAGGTGCTCATCCACACCGGGACTAACTCATATCAGACATACCTCGGCACTAGCACCAGACAGTTTTCCCGTAAGCCTCGTCCACTGCCAACGGCGTGGGACTAGTGGTGAGTACTGAGAAGCCCGCACAGTCCGGCCACCATTCCGCCTCGTCACCCTGTTCTCGGTAAAAAGGAGTCTCTCTTTCACCCTCCAGTGGCGCCGGCGCCGGCCACTCTACAAACACGCAACGTTGACGGAGACGACGAACAGTGAACACCTCAAACACGGTCCGGCAGCGGCGGGCCGGGCGGGTTTGGTCAGTCATCGCCGGGGCGCGGCCTTGGAGGCTGAGTCACGGTAAACTGTCGCCGCCGCCGTGTTATCATGGCCTTCGGTAACCGAACCCCTGCTGCTGCTGGCTGGGTCTCATCATACATGTGCAGCAGATGAGCTCGCTCCGAGTTCCACACATGCCCGCAGCGAGACCTCCTTTCATATACCCCAGACCGGTTTACTCTATCGCTCACATAACCCAGCCATACAATACCGACAAACCACGTCACCCCGGGCTAACACCCGGCACAGTCCCACCCGCTACGTCGCACAAACTCCCGGTAACCGCCCCGGCAGCACACCTTCAGCACACCATGGCACACGTTCGCGTCGTGAGCCGGATATCGCTGAGTCGCCGCGGTGGAGACCGCAAACGGCGCTCGGTGGCACGCCAGCGGCATGCACGGGTTCGTTGGCCACATATTCATGCTGAGACTCGGGACACAGACCGAGGTCGGTGACAGCAATTTTCAACAATCGCTGGCCGTGATTGTTCGGGTTCACTGAGCATAGGCGCATAAAAATACCATCAGTAACAGCGAATCAGTCCGTCGAACCCACACCCGACCATGCGGCGTCCCTACACCGAGCGCCAGCCCACGCTCCTTAGCACCCCAACATAACAAAAACCGAGCGGTGGGGGACGCCGCCGTCACCCCGTCGGCCCGACACTGCAGAAACGATAAATCTCAGTTGCGCAAGGCACGGGGCCTGCTCGGGGCAGGCTCGGGGGTGTTGGGAGGGCCGAGCGGTGTAGAAGGGGCCTGGGGAGAGTCGGATGCGGTCCGGGATAGCTGTGTCGGCCGGCTGCAGCGCTGTGCCACCGCCGCTGACAGCCTAAAGCACCAACAGTGTCGACAGCCGAGCAGGCAGTTAGGTCACCAGGTCCGGCGCCGTCTAAACACAGAGGCGATATGGCGCGCAGGGCTGTAACGGCCGAGGTGTTAGGCTTGGCTGAACAGCCAGCCCGAGATACCATCATCCCTTGGTCCCGCAGCCGTGACGTCTCCGAGTCCGATGGAAGACTGCACAGTGCACACGTACTCGCATTAGGCTCACAACCGGCTCGACTGCGAGTGTTTAGAGATGTGCGCGAGGCGGGATTCCTGCAGAATTCCAAACAAAAGAAATTGCGCTAGCTTGTAAATCACCAGGCTTTTAACCCGCGCCCTGCTGGGGGGGGGGGGGTGTTTGAACACCCCCCCTTGTGGTTTTTCGCGAATATCTCAAAAACGGCGGCGCTCCGCGCCGCCGTTTTTGGTACACCTTACCATACATCAATTCTACACATGTTGTGAAAATTTCAGACCAAGGTCATTCAAGGTCAGGTCACCAGGTCACTTGAAGTGACCTCACCTCATAAAAACTTTCAATGTCTGTCATAGCTACACCGAGTGACCGATCGCTTTGAAACTTTCAGCGATTGCTAAGAGCAATAGCATGTACAAAATGTATATCTCAGAATTTTGATATCGATGACCTAAGGTCAGGTCAATTTTGTGACCTCCCCATTATAAGTCAATGGGAGAAAATTGAAATGCGCCTCTTTTGGATGAAAGACATTATAAACACTCCCAAACACCGAATTACAAGTGGTTTAGACACACTGAACTTGAAAATGGTGTTCGTGACCCTTGTTTATGCCCTGAGGTCATCTTAGGTCACGAATGGTATCTAACAGTTTTTCGCAAATAACTTTTGATAGAGGCATGCTAGAGCGATGAAAACGCCTTAGATGTGTTCAGCTCGACGATACAGATCGACTGATATGCAACATGACCCTTTCCGGTCAGGTCATGACCTTGACCTGAGGTCAAATTTTCAAGTTGACCTTTCAAGGTCAAGTCATAGTTCATTCGATGCGTCTTGACAAGAGGAACACGATGCCGGTAAAAGTAAGCTCGTACAAGGCTTGGGTCAAAAGTTATTGCAGAAAAACTGTTTTCGAAAAAATCGGCTATTTTTACAGTTTTTGCCCCCTGCAGGCAAAACCGTTGACGTTAGGTCAAATCTGAGAAGATTACTCAGAAAGGGCGTTAATAGGGCTATCGAATGCGCTTTTCCGCGGCGCTGTAGCTCTATTGGTTCTCGAGTTATGCGTTGGCTTCTTGGAAATTTTCGACATTCGACCTGGAAATCGGCGAAATTTTGCCTTCAATGACCTCTGGTGACCTGACCTTTGACCGGACCAAAAAATTGACCGAAGTGATTTCGTCATTATTTTTTACGCTCTTTCGAACGCCGCCTTCCGCGTATCGCTACGTGGCCCAGGAGCCGAGTTACAAGGGGGGGTGTTCAAACACCCCCCCCCCAGCAGGGCGTGGAAATCCAGGACCCCCAGCAGGGCGCGGGTTAAAACAGCATAGTCTTAAGGTTTGCGAAAGCAGCTCTGTCAGGCGAGACAGAGCGCCACATCTTATTCAATGGCATTACCCGCGACACTGGCGGATGCTGCTGCACAGGCACGTAGCCTTTAGCAACTGAAGAGAGATGTGAATTGTGAAGTCACGACTCAGGGTCGTTGCGACAAACACACCTTGACCATACATCCGGTATCGCCGGCCAGCCCTGAGCGGCTCCGGGCACAACAGGGACATTTGCCACGCTGCTGGAGCCGCCGGCGGAGCACGCTCCTCTCTCGACCGTCTGTCACCGCCAGCCTCCTGCCGTGAACGCGTACAGAGTTCGCCTACTAAATACCCGACTAAATCATCCCCTCACCGTGCCGTATCGGGGACGGTCGTGCCTCGCCGCGACCACAACCGGCACCTGGGAATGCCAGAGCCGTGCTCGCCACAGCGATGGCCGATACGAGTGAAACGAACCGCTCGCCAACCGCGCGGCGCTGCATATCGAGTCCAACCGCGGCCGCCGATCCATCACACTCAGCTCGGGAGCGGGGACGCCAGGTCCCGCTATGTGTGGGCTCTGAGACCGGCGCGCCGAGCCCGCCCGAGCCCGCGCAGCTCGCGGTCGGACCGCCCCTCCGTGCGGCGCCGGCGGCCGCTGCGAGTCGGTAATCACTGCTCGGTATGCGGCAGCGTCCTTGGTTCTGACGTGGCCAGAGATGAGTCACTGCGTCTCGGTCATACCATGCGGTAGGATGTTCCAACAGAACACCAGTCGCAGAGAGGAAGGCTGATTGGTG